AAATCCAAAAATTAGCCATGTGTGGTAGCATGCGCCTGTAATCCCAGCTCCTTGGGGGACTGAGGCATGAGAATCACTTGAACCCAGGAGGCAGAGGTTGCAGTGAGCTGAGATCACACCACTGCACTCCAGCCTGGGCAACACAGCAAGACTCTGTCTCAAAAAAAAAAAAAAAAAAAAAAAACTGGAAAATTGCAAAAAGAGTAAATTTTAAGTGTTCTCACCATAAAAAAAGTATGTGAAGTAATGCATATGTTAATCAGTTCAATTTAGCCATTTTACAGTTTACATGTTTCAAAACAGTATGTTGTACATGATAAATGTATACAATTTTTATTCATCAAATAAACACATAATATTTTGGCTAGGCACGGTGGCTCGTGCCTAAAATCCCAGCACTTTAGGAGGCTGAGGTAGAAAGATCACTTGAGGCTGGGATTTTAAGACCAGCCCAGTCAACATAGCCAGACCTTGTCTCTACTAAAAATAATTTTTTAAAATTAGTCACTTGTGGCCGGTAGCAGTGGCTCACACCTATAATCCCAGCACTTTGGGAGGCCAAGGCAGGTAGATCGCCTGAAGTCAGCGGTTTGAGACCAGCCTGGCCAACATGGTGAAACCCCGTCTCTACTAAAAATACAAAAATTAGCCGGGCGTGGTGGCGGGCACCTGTAGTCCCAGCTACTCGGGAGGCTGAGGCAGGAGAATGGCGTGAACCCCGGAGCCGGAGCTTGCAGTGAGCCGAACTCGCCCACTGCACTCCAGCCTGGGCGACAGAGCGAGATTCCATCTCAAAAAAAAAAAAAAAAAAAAAGAGAAAGAAAACTTGTGTTCATACAAATCTGGACATAAATCATACCGAAGCTTTTTCATAATTGCCAAGCCCTAGAAACAATTCAAATTTCAAATGTCAATAGCTGGGCGTGGTGGCGGGCACCTGTAATCCCAGCACTTTGAGAGGCCAAGACAGGTGGATCACTTGAGGTCAGTAGTTTGAGACCAGCCTGGCCCACACCCTGTTTCTACTAAAAATACAAAAATCAACCAGCTGTGGTGGCAAGTGTCTGTAATCCCAGGTACTTG